ACTGAAACCATACCTGTGTTTTGGGGATGCCTCTGTTTTCAGAGATAAGTTATCCTAGAAGTTTCTGTTTCTTCCAGGAGGAGAAAGCAAAAAAAAAAAAAAAAAAAAATGGGCCAGGCCTGCAGCAGAGGGAGTGGAAGGTAGACTGAAGGCCTGAATTATCTAGGGTATTTTACCTGGTTGACATAGGGACTGGGGAGAGAAGGACAGAAACTGCAGCTATATCTGTGTCCCAAATGTCTGACTCAGGACTATCACAGGCCTTGCTTGAAAGCCCCAAAGGCTGAAGGATTAATAACCCAGCTCTTAGGACCCATTTTTGGCATATCAGTTGGGTAATGTTGATAAGGGGTCAAGTACAAGGCAGAGGCTATGCAGCTGGGAAACCAAAGAATGCCCAGGAACTTGTACTCACAGTGAAGTCCAACTCTGGCCTTGGGGCAGAAACTGCTGTTTATTTGGTCAGAAGGTGAACAGAAGCCTGTCGTGATCCATGCTCCAATTTGGGGTGATGATAGGTATCAATACAGTGCTTTGGTAATACTCCAGTTGATATTCTCTAAGCACATTTCTATTTCAAGACTGTGCCAAGAGGTAGGATAAACCAAATGGTGTTGAACATTGAATATGAATTATAGCATGTAAGGTCTTATACCAAGTAGTTGATGAGAGCCAAGGATTGAATATTAGGATTAATGGGGAGTGATGTACTCTTTAATATATTAATTAATTCGTTAAACATTTATGGAGTATTTACTTGGTGCCAGGCACTAAGGGAAAGAGATGAAAGACATTATTTGCCCCTAAGCAGACGGGAAAGGCAAACATTTGCATTAGAGTATGGCAGGTTGGCACAGATCACTCTGGGAGCTCAGAGGAGCACATCTAAGCCAACCTTGGGTGAGAAGTGGAGGTGAGGGTGGGCTTCCTGGAAGAAGTGGTGCCTGGTCTGGGTCTTAAAGGGTAAGAGTTGATCATGTAAAAAAGAAAGGAGGAAAACATCCCAACCATAAGAATAGGGGCAGGATTCCGTGCAATGAGTTCTGGAAGTCTAAACAATTTATTTCATAGGCTGTAGGGGGAGAAATGTGAGTTGAAGCTGAAGAGAAAAAGCAAGCATCATATGAAGAAGGGCCTTGCATGCCATGCTAAGGCATTTTACCCCAAAGGCAATGGGAAGCCACTGAACAGTTTTAAGAAGAGAGGTGTGACTGGATCTGAATTTTAGAACCTCTTTCTGGTAGCAACAGGGAGGAAGCCTGAGCAGCAGGTAAAGCAAAGAGCGCAGCTTTTAGCATTGACCCCATTGCCCTCCCACATGTCTTTATTATCCCTTTCTCTTTATAAATGTGTTCTGTAGCTCTTCTCAGCCTATCCAGTATGATTTCCTACCATTGTCTAATTTGTTCAGGTTGACTCAACTTATCAAACATAACAGTGCTCATTCCCATCTTTGTGCCTTGTTTATTCAGCAAACATTTAATAAGTGCCTATAGTATACCAGCCACAGCTCCTGGCATGAAGAACCAAAGATGAATGAAATATGGAACCTACATTTAAGGAGCTCACAGACCAGTAGGAAGATACCCATGGAAGCACATTGTTACATGTGAGCCTGAAAATGGCTATGGAATGGGATAAACATAGAGTACCATGGGCATAAAGAAAAGTGGGTCCTGTCAATGAGAAGTCCTCTTCCTTCTCTTCTGAGTCCTGCCCATCCTTAGGCTTCTGCCTTCACTCTGTATAGAGGTGGGGTAATGTCTCTATACACTATACACCCATCACATCTGTCTTCTGCTTAAAACTGTTCAGTGGCTTCCTACTGCCTTTGGGGTAAAACATCTCAGTGTGGCAAGCCAAGGCCCTTCTTCATCTGACATAATAGTGTAATGGTTTGAGCTTGGGCTCTGAAACCAGAAAAGATTTTAATCTTGGTTCTATCATATGAAACATGTGACCTTGGCCAGAAATTATTTGTGCCTCAGTTTCTTCATGTGTAAAATGGAGCTGATGGCTGTACTGACTTCATAGCATTATTATGAAGATGAAGTGAGTTAATATGCATATAAATCTTTAGATTGTCTTTGGCACGTGAAAATTATTCAGTAATTATTGGCTATTTTTATTTTCAGTTTTTTCCATTTTTTCAGCATCTATATCATGATGTCAAAGAACTTTAACCTTTAATTATTATTGTGTTACTTGCTCAGTTTTCTGTGTTGCCATATTATGTCACGGATGACTACACAATAATCTATTGAGGCAGCATACATTGCATATGTATCTATACTCCTGAAAGACTCACAGCATTAGATATGTATTAGGATAATGAGCCATCCCAACTTGCTTAGAATTGATAGGACTTTTAGTGTTAAAATCAGGAAAGTACCGGACAAACTGGGACAAGTTGTCTACTTTATATATACAGTAGGCACTTCAGTTTTGCTTTTTATATATCTCTTATTGGTCCCAAACTTAACTTTCAAGTAAGCTTGCTTTCACTTTGCCACAAATATTTATTTATTGCCTAGAAAATATAAAGTCACAACCTCTGGGTTTCTTTGGGGTTTCCTGAAATTCCCTAGGGTTTAAAGTAGAAAATCTGAGACATTCCTGAAAAACACTCTCTCCCATCAGCTCTGGGTGTATTTACTAGAAATTGTGGACAGCCCTGTAGGAGCCTTCTTCAACCTGGCCCACAGCCTAGGAAGTCTCTCCTGCCCATCATTTCCCATCTCTCTTGGTGTTTCCATCATGATTTTGAGTACCTCCTTCACTTGCTTTCCAGAATCAACATACCCTTAGTTGACTCAGTGGCAAAGCCTCTTTCTTCACACAAGGATCATGTTTTTTCCATGAATTCCCCAAGTGGGGCCAAAGGATTTTTCCTCTTTTTTGTGTACCACTACCACCCTACTTCAACCTGCACTGGGACAGCATTTGCCCTAGGCCATTGTTTTTCAGATAGCATTCCTTAAGGATCCACTGTGGCCTCTTTAAGTATTTCTTTTTTTTATTATTATTTATTTATTTATTTTTTATTTATTTTATTTTTATTTTTTTCAATATATGAAATTTATTGTCAAATTGTTTTCCATACAACACCCAGTGCTCATCCCAAAAGGTGCCCTCCTCAATACCCATCACCCACTAGAAATTGTGGACAGCCCTGTAGGAGCCTTCTTCAACCTGGCCCACAGCCTAGGAAGTCTCTCCTGCCCATCATTTCCCATCTCTCTTGGTGTTTCCATCATGATTTTGAGTACCTCCTTCCCACCCCCCATCAACCCTCAGTTTATTCTCAGTTTTTAAGAGTCTCTTATGCTTTGGCTCTCTCCCACTCTAACCTCTTTTTTTTTTTCTTAAAACCATGACAAGTGTTTGCAGAAGCCCGGCCAATCTTCTCCAGTACAATCAAGGGTCTGTGTCAACAGTCTCTGCAACTTTGTACCCCAGTGTGTTAGTTTCCTGGGTCTTAAATAACAGAAATTTATTCTCTCTCAGTTCTGGAGCCTAGAAATCCAGGGTCAAAGGTGTCAACAGGACTGGTTCTTTCTGAGGATATGTGGGAGAATGTGTTCCATGCCTCTCCTAACTCTGGTGGTTTACTGGCAATGTTTATCATTCCTTGGCAGGTAGATACATCTCCCAATCTCTGCTTCATCTTCACATGGCATTCTTTTGGTAAGGACAGCAGTCATGTTGGATTAAGAACCCACTCTACTCCAGTGTGACTTGATCTTAACTAATTACATCTGCAATGACCCTTTCCAAATAAGGTCACATTCTGAGGTTCTGGGGCTTAGGGCTTCAACATGTCAATTTCCAGGGGTGGGGAGGAAGTACAATTCAGTCTTTAATGCCCAGATCTTCAGGTAAGTTAAAAAAATAAAATAAAAACAAAATTCTGTGGACACTAAAGGCCACTTCTCCACCGTCATTGCTCATAAATCCATTTTCATTCTCCACTCACTTTGCATTTGATACTATTTCTGCTACAAGATTTGCATGGTTACCAGCATCCACTTATTTAGCACTCTATAGGGCATTGTATGACTGCAGGGATATTAAGAAATATAATATACACTTGACTCACCAGTTCTAAATCAGGGTATATCAGATCTTTTTTAAGGGAAGCCTGCTGAGGAAAAGTTGAATCCATGGCATAACTATTATAAAGGCAGTGACTCCCATCCTGATGAATAATAATTACAAGCTGGTTGCCTTTTTAAATGCTCTAGAGAATAGCATGGTGTGTACAGACATGGATTGAGAGAGTGTGTGCATGTGTGCGTGCGTGCGTGTGCGTGTGCATGGAGTAGTTTATGATGAAATCACCAGGCTCCTCCCCAGTCTTCCTGCAAACATTAAGCCTTCATTGGGTGCACAGGGAATAGCCTGCATCTCCTCACTCTGACTGTGGCCGCTTGCTTCCTTCTGTCAGATCCCTGGAATTGCTTGACCTCTTCCCCTATAAAGAGATAGCTCTGTTCCAAAAGATAAACACCAGTAGTTACGGGGAACTTGGGGGAGAAAGTCGAACAAGCCTTCCAGTTATTGTTTCCCTGGTGTTCTCACGTAGAAACACAGACGATCTTTGTGGATGAGGTATTTCTGACTCTGGCAGTTACAGCCTGAGATGTGAAGGCAATGATGGATCTTCACAAGGGTGGGGAATCAGAGCACATGGGAGAGGGGGTTCTTGCCTTGTCTCCTCGCTTCTTTCCAGGGACACCCCACCTCTGAGAAATCCCGGGAACGGAGGAGGCACCTAGCTAGTGCCCATTTATGCTGAGCTGCCAGGAAGGCTGCTAGCTTGCTGAGAGGCGGCGGGCAAGCCTGGCACTCAGCTCCTCTGCTGCCAGATCAGGGAGCTGTGTGCTTAGCGCCTACACCCTAGGCTCCAGCTCTGGGCAGCCCCGGGTGGGCTGGGGGAAAGCGCGAAGCTCTCAGTCAGTGGCTGCAAGTTGACTCTCCCTCACTGTTGCTGCTGGCAGAATACCTACACCAACGCGGACAAGCTCCTAGAGGCTGCAGAGCAGCTGGCTCAGACGGGGGAATGTGACCCCGAGGAGATCTACAAGGCAGCTCGACACCTGGAGGTGCGCATCCAGGACTTTGTGCGCAGGGTGGAACAGCGGAAGCTTCTCCTGGACATGTCTGTCTCCTTCCACACGCACACCAAAGAGGTAAGGCGAGTCGATGGAAAGGGGGCGTTGGCTGGGTTGATTTGTTCTGGCAAGGGTCAGGGCAGTTTCCCAGGAAAAAACGGCCTCCAAGGTATGCCCAGGGGCCTGGGTGGTCTTGGGGTTACTAACCTCCTGACAGTGATGATACTAACAATTTACTCCTGATTACCTGTATTTAGGTCTCAACCAAAATGAAACATTTCCTTCTCATCTCTAGTGAGGAGGGAGCCACCCAGGCAGGTAGTTTAGGGAGTCTGCTAGAGCATTCAGTCTGCAGCTAGAGAAACTGGGGGATCCCTAGTATAGAAATAGTCACTGCAAGAGGAAACGTAAAATAGCAGAGACTCCCTCCCCCCCCCCATACCCAGTTTCTTATGGTTGCTGTTTCCTATCAGAAATCAGTCCCGCAAAACTTTGATCATCTTTGCTACCAGCAAGAAACATACAGAGTTTGCAAATGTGTTCTATGCTTTTCTTTTATTTTTTTAAAACAGAGAATTAAATCTTCTTAATGAGGTCTGCTCCAGGGTGGTGATGTTAATGTGAGTTGCTTCTCAACTTTCTGATTGTGGAGTGGTGGCCAGTGAAGGAAGGGAGACTGAGGTACCCTCCATGCAGGAGGAAGCCATCTGGGCTAAAATCTGGTCCTGAATCATTCACAAAGCAGAGACGGGAAAGGGGAGAACGGATTATGTTCCACCGTTGGCAGGGCAGAGAGGCTCCCATAAAGGAGTTGGGTTGCAAACCTGCAATTGCTTTTCATTTCTGATTAACATGGGGGCATTTGAAATTGAGTAAGTGGCCAGTAAGGAGGCACATTTAGCATCTTCTATAATAACACCCTTGGCAGATGAACTCATTAGGTGTATGCATGCTTCTGTTCCCCCAGGAATTCATTTTAATCGAGTATTAATTAAAGTGTGATTGCTTCTCAGGAAAAAAAAAATTAACCCTACTTAATTAAGTTGATTTGTGATATTTGAAATGCATTAAGAAGCCTGGTTGTTACTACTTCACAGGCTTTTCTGACACTTGGTGGGAATGAATGCAAATTGTTGCAGTGCCTATCAGAGAAAAACATGAAAAGATAATGTTTTCTAAACTGAGATTCCCCAGGCAGATGAAGGGGCTGTGAGCTCCCGGAAGATGGCTCTGCTTCCTCTCTGTGGGATCCACAGCCCCTCTCTGATGAGTGTCTGTAAAGCAAGGGGATTAGCTTTAATCCAGGTTTCCTGCCTGGTTGTCTGCTCGCTTGTGGCTCACCCGATTCTTAATAATGGTTTCAGAAACCAAAGTCATGTGTATTCTCCTCTAATTATGAGCCTGTGGGTGATGGAATGGAGCATGAATGAACAGGAGTCATATTCCTTGTGAGGGCTGTGGGGGTGCTAGCTGCCTAGGGAGGTGGAGGATGAGGTCAGTTTAGCTATATCTCCCACCTTCTGTACATGGAGCTAGAAGGCTGGGATCCTAGTCCAGATTCTGCTGCTGTAGAACCAGGTGAGCTTGTGCAGATCACCGTGCCTCTGGCCCTGGGCTGCCTCATCTATAAAATCATGCTGTTGGATTCAGTGGCCCTGAGATCCCTGATGGTTCTAAAGTGAATTCAAAATTCCTTTCTTTTTCTTCTTCTCCTCTTCTTTATTTGATGTTGATAACAATAATAATAAATAATAGTAATTCAGTCTGAAGTAATACACCGAAGTGACAGACCTGACCTAAGATATGGCTCATTGTGAGCACTCGATGTGTAGTAGGTAGCATTTTTTTAATTGGGTACCTACTACGTGCCAGACACATGGAATCCTCATGACGATCTTAGGATCTAGATTTTATTAAACATACTTTCAAGCGGGAAAACTCAGGCTCGCTAAAGAGTCTGTCTAAGTTACGGAGCTTCTAAGTCATACAGCGGAGATTTTACCTGGCTTCCTGAAGACTGTTCACACTTGCCCCTGCTGCTCCACACACTTCTGTTTTCCTCCTGCATCTCCTTTCCTCGTCTGCTCTTCTTCCTTCTCCTTACTCTTCTTTTTTCTCTTTACATTTCCAATCTCTAAAGCAGGCCTTGAGGGGGAGGGTGGATCTTAGCGGAGAAATGTAAAGTGTTGCCAGGTTGTGGGTGTGGGAGACAGATGCTGATAAGTACTGTCAGAGATCCTTCCTGCCTAGTTAGGGCTAATTTCTTCTTCTTTCCTTTCCTCCTTCCTTTTCTCTCTTCATTTCTGCCTGCATACAATCATTTTCTGAGTTTTTGCATTAATGCCAGTGTGTAATAGAATGGCATTGTGGGATATAAATTTGAAGGAATTGGAGCCTCCTGTACAGGAGATTTCTGAGCAGGAACTGAGCATCCATCTTCCTAAGAGATTTAACCTAGACTTCCTGTGACTCCCCAGGCTGAAGTTCATAATTTTACTTTTGCCTGCTTCCTACATCAAAAGATTTGTTCTACTTACACTCAGAGAGAAAACAGGAGGAAAATATGAAAAAGATATGCTCCAGGCCCATTTCTTCTGCAGATTTGAAGACTCTGTTTAATCCTACTGGTCCTGCTTTATGAATTCTTGGTGGCCATACGAGTCTGGAAGGTTAAAATCTTCTAACCATTTTATGGCAGTGTTATTCATAATTTGAATAATTAGAAACTATTTGAATATTCCATGTTGAGTGATCCATTAAACATATCAGAGTGCATCTAGCTAGTGAAATATTATACAGTCATTATAAATCACATTGTAAAAGTTCATTAATAGCATGAGAAAGGGCTTGTAGTATAATACATAAAAAACTGTATATCCAGCATGACCACAATTTTGATATGCACATAGAATAAAGACTAGAAAGAAATATACAAAGAAGTTAAATGTTATGGGTGATTTAATTTTCTTTTGCATTTTTTTTTTTTGGTTTTATAACTTTTCTTCAATGATATTTTCAGCTGAAAATCAATAACAATCCCAATAATGTTATTTTACAAAAACAAAATTTGTCATCCCTACTTGGAGAGAAAAGTTACACTATAAAGAGAGGTGACAAACATGTGCCTGGGACCTTCCTATGCTTGCAAAGCCTCAGGTATTAGTATATATTGTGCTCAACTTTCAAATAGCTTCTTTTTGCCTGGGGACAGGAGGGCAGCTGGCATTTTGCTGTTCTGGAGAGTGAGGAAGCATGTAAGGAGAATTTACCCAGGTCCTCATTTTCTTTGTCCAGGGAGAAGGCATTTGTAGCAGGTGTCATCTGCTCTGCAGAGATTGTCCAGACAGAATTCTCCTTCCTTGCTGTGTTTCCATGGAAATACTGCAGTTTCTGGGCTTTCAAAATATCCCTTTTTAGGTATTTTTGTAGTAATAATATGAGAGTCAAATTAACTGAAGAATGTGGCCAAGATAATCAACCTCAACTCTTTATTACACAGCTTAACTAAATGCCCATTTCTCTTTGTTTCCAACCTTGTGAAATCATTCTTCCATGCTATTTCCTGCTCAAACAGGCGCGCACACACACACACACACACACACACACACACACACACACTTCTCAAGACCCTCACGTGTACACATGTTCCTCTACCCACCACCCATCATAGAACCAAAACTAAATCAGTCTTCAAAAGGGATGATACTCTCAAGATCAAGACCGCTTCATCCTCTATTTCAATTGCCAAACTGTCATGGTGCTTATCGAAGAAATAAAAGCTGATAGTTGATGCCAAAGAAAAATGATCTCTTCAAAATGAGGGAGGGGCAGTTTACCCTGTGGAACTAGTGTCCATTAGACATCTTGGGGCAGTCGATTGTATCATCACAGTGGCGGCCAGGGCTGTGCAGATGGACTAGCCAATCAGCAGGTGAAAGTGATAGAGTAAAATACCTCTTTCCTTAACCACTTATCCATAAGCCTCATTGTTTCTACAAACCTCCTAGTATCTCCCTTCCTTGTCCCTTCCTGACTGCCTTTTTCCATTGCCTCTTTCTCAGGCTGTCCCACTTTGCAGGCAGGATAGGCTCCATGGGCTGGCCCCTCCTAAATTCACTGGTTCACTATTAGGACTAACTTTATGTAGGCTTCTAACTAACTTTAAGTCTTCCTTAACTTTACCCCTGCGAAGGTTCTCAAACTTCTCAAGTTAGGCCCATTCTTTGGGTATAGGTATTTGGGGCCGCAACCACATGTGTTCTCTGAGAGAAAGAACACATAAAGCCTCTACGTATGTATATCAACATGGACCAAGTATTCATTGCCAACCAAAGAGCAGACCCCTAAAGGGGTGGGTCACAGTACAGGTATGTTTGATCAAGAAGAACGTCTGGAAATGGCTGAAATGTGAGAGTCATTCTGGAGCACTGGATTAATGGAGAAAGCGCAGTGCTAATGTGTGAGACTCTTAATAAGCAGAGGATAAAGAGGATTACCCTAGGGGAGAGAAAGCAAAATGGAGAACAATAGGGAAAAAAAAAATACATGGTTGCTGTTACTGATTACCTCACACACTCCATGACTTTACCCAGTTCTGGCAGTCGTTGCTTCTTGTAGCTTGAAGAGAGAGAGAGAGACCATTCTGACTAGGTCTCACTGGTGCTGCCTGATAATTAGTAAATTAGTAACAGAAGCAGCTCTCTGATGTGAATTCTTTTCAAAGCAACCTAGGCATGCTCTTTAGGGATAAGTCAGATGGACACATACACAGAAGGAAACCCACAGGATAGGAAAATTGCAGCCTAGGAAAGGAATATTGATCCTTACTCATAGTTTAGTGACACTAATCTTCAGTTCTGTCCACTTTATGCCTCGGAGGTGCTTATTCAGAATTATGAGTCTGCAATTTAAATTTGCTGCCACCAGGAGGTGACTGTGTACATGTGGCCTCATGGGATTGCAAGTGACTCACTACTCAAGCTTTCTAGGTTGTAAATAGTGTCTTAACTTGGTATCACAATTATCCTCAAACTAGTGTTAAACTTTTTGGACTTCGGATGTCTCAGTGTCTAAGTTGTGACTGCAGAGTTGCAGTTTAGAGAGGCATTTCTTTCTTTCTTTCTTTTTTTAAACACACACACACACATCTGTGTTTATCTGTCTATATCTATATATCTATAATATAAAATACCCATACGTATAGTTAAAATTCTGATTCAACACAAAAAAGTTTATTCCAACCTTCTCCCTTTCCCCTGGCAATAAGAAACCTTAATCCCATTGTATACAATATGTTTACTTCCTCGATCTTTCAATACACATTAAGCATTTCTTTACTACCCTCTCCTTGACATCAGCCTTAAGAGACACCATAGCATGTTAGAGCTGGAAGGGATTTTAGAGACAACCTGGAGAGACCACACATATACATGTGTACACGTGCACACACCATGTTAAATATGAAGTAGTTGAAGTAAAGTAGTTTTCCCATGCTCACGGAATAGCCCGACAATGGCAGAATCAAGAATTATCGCTAGTAAATATCAATTCCATTCAAGAGTTCCTTTCCTTCTGTTTGTTCTTTTAACAGAAGGAAAAACAGAGAAAGATGTCACTAACCCTTTGTATTTGGTGTTGAAGTCCCCTTCACTATCTCCAAGTCAAATTGTCTTTAATCACTAGCAATTTTATTTGACATTTTAAACTCTTGAATGTAGACCGCTTCCTTTTCTTATCAAGCTGCTAACCACTGGGCTGAGCTGCACTGAGTATTGTATCTTACTATTTATCTCTTAGCTGATTTTCCTTAGTAGGAAGTAGGTTTTCACTCTGTCTTAGACAAGAGTTTGTTTATAATACAATAGAATATGGGAACAGAAGTGTGAGAAATCAGTTTCAGTTCACTGGTCAAAGAATATTTTGGGGGAGGACATGTTATTTTAATATTGACTTCAGAGGCCAGAGTGTATCCTCATATGTCCCTCGTGTTTTCCTGGTCCCCTTGTTTGTAACACTGACACCTCATTTTTATCTGGAAAATTCTGTCTTTGTCCCTGCTCTTTAACTGCAGGACCATCAGGAGGAGGGAGTGCCATGAATCATGCTTTCTTCTGTACATCTACACCAGAAGTGTTCAAGTTTTATTAAGGATAAATAAAGGGGGGGAAGGCTATGAAGCCATTAAAATAGCTTAGGGATGGTACTGAGAACAAAATTATCTTAATTCAAATAAAATTCTCAAGATTCATATACGCCTCTTTTCTGTCTTATTCCTGTAACAATGAGTGCCAGCCTTACCCTGATCAGTCTTCTATCTCAATGCCTGTCCTCCCTTGAGACATTGAGTTTCTTTTCCTTCTCTTACATGACAGGCTTGGTGTCCAGGTTTTATCTCTCTCTCTTCACATCTTTTCTTCCTCTCCTCTCCTCTCCCCTCCTCTCCCCACCTTCTTTCTTACCTTCAGAAATATCTAGGTTTTCCAGTCTCTAGGCTTTCCTTAGACATCCCAGGACAAAGCAGCAAAAACAGCAAAAAGAGGCCCAGCTCAGCCTAGCATTCTGAAGGACCAAATCCAGTGTTGATCTTTTACCAGTTAAAAATGGAAGAAGTATTTCACACTTTCCCTCTGCCTTCTAGTTGGACCTAGGGGTGGCTTGCATCAAAAATATCTTTTATTTTTGAGGTGCCTGGGTGGCTTAGTCAGTTAAGTGCCTGACTCTTGATTTTGGTTTAGGTCATGATCTCATGGCATGTGATCAAGCCTTGTGTGAGCCTCTGTGCTGAGCAAGGAGCCTGCTTGGGATTTTCTCTCTCCCTCTCTTTTTGCCGCTCCCTTGCTTGCACTCTCTATCTCACACACACACAAAATAAACAAGCATTTAAAAAAATTTTTTAATACATTTTTTATTTTTTATTTTTTTTTAGAGAGAGAGAGCAGGGAGGGGCAGAGGGAGAGAGAGAGAGAGGGAGAATCTTAAGCAGGTTCCATGCCTAGCACAGAACCTGATTCGGGGCTTGATCTCACGACCATGAGATCATGACCTGAGCTGAAATCAAGAGTCGGATGCTTAACTGACTGAGCCACCTAAGTGCCCCCAAAAATATCTTTTAAATATAGTATCTAGCATTTGCTATATACCAAGTACTGTTTCTAAATGATATATATAGATACAGATATCTATATAGATAGATATAGATATATCTCACTTATTTGTGTATATATACACACAGACATGCATGCACACACATATATATCAAATTAGTAATATTTATGACTCTGTGGGGATAAACACTACTATTATCCCCATTTTACTGATAAGGAATACTGAGGAACTGAGGTGCAGACAGGGTAGGTTATTTGCCCAAGCTTATATAGCTGATACATGGTAGAACTGTGGTTTGAAACTTTTTTTTTTTTTTTTAATGTGGGGCCTGAACTCATGACTCTAAGATCAAGACTGAGCTGAGATCAAGAGTCGGATGCTTAACAAACTGAGTCACCCAGGAACCACGGGGGTTTGAAATTCTTAACCATGCTACATGCTATATTGCCCCTGTATCCAGTAGTTTTTCAGAGAACCCATTATCTTTTACCCAGGGACTTCAGCACCTTTAGAAAATGCTTTTGGTCTCCAGGCAAAATGGCAGCCGTAAAGTATGAACTAACAAGAAGCAACAGTGACCAATATCCTGAACTTCCTGATTTCATACTGATTTGTAATAAATACATTCATACTTATAGAAATATGAATCCAGCTTATATGGTCTGGAAAACTTGTTTTATGTTTTTATAATAGAAAAGGTTATTTTTAAAGGAAATAAACTGAATTACAACCAGATTATTAACTGCTAAATGACAGGAACACTGAATAATAATAATTTGTATTCCTTGCAGCTATCATCACAACACTATGAGCTTATTAATAATGCTATATGTTTACTTAAAGCATTAATAATAAATAATTTAATATCCATAGTCTTTGATGAGCAGGGCAGATCTTACTCCCATTTTGTAGATTAGAAAACTAAGGCTCAGAGAGTTTCTCACCTGTCAAAGAAGGACAGTCTTTATACCCTCTTACATGCTACCTCTAGGGCTTAGTGTTCTTGTTAACTCACCCTCTTCTGTCACATCCAGAGCCTCTCCTATCTGAAGAACAAAGAATAACTTGTCTGAAACTTGAAGATTATTTTTGTCTCTCTTCATTGATTCTTTTCTTATCTCCAGTTACAAAGGCCATACCATGATTTACCATCCTGAGAACTAACTAGATGAGATGATATTCTTGAGATGGATGTTTATCCGTGTTCTTAACATGGAAGACATACATAAATGTTAGAACCAGAAGGCAATTAGCCATTTTATTTAATGCTTTCCTTTTTACACACGAGGTCATAGATAGGCAAGGGTGAAGTGATTTACTCAAAGGCACCACGAGTTATAGGAAGAACAGAGGCCAAAATCTACATCTTCTGATTCTATCAATTTTCTCTCTATACTGTTTCCCTCCCCCCACCCCCCGCCTCTGGTAGAGCCCTGAGCTGATATTTCTGGATAGCCACGTGAAGATTCCTTATTTTTAAGCAAGCATCAGACTTGTCTTTCCCTCCATCATTTTATGAGCATGCTCCAGAGGAGTAATTAGCAGTAGAGCACTGTGGCAGGCCACTGGAGACCTAGTTTCTGTATGAGGAAGAGCTATCATTACATGAGTTTTCAGAATTCAGTTCAACTGTTCATCATTTCTAATCCTTATTCTGCTCAAAACATTACACTTAGCTCTTTTAAAGTTGTCTGACCAGTCATATCACCCTGACTACATTTCAGTGCTTTGAATATCATGGGGGAAATGTCTCATACTTATATTGAAATTAAGATAAGCTACATTTTTAGCATTCAACTTTCTAACCAACCTAGTAGCCCTGAAAAGAAACAAATAATTTAGCATAGCACATATTTTTAAAATTAATCTTCATTTGGTTCTTATGGAGCATCACATTCTTTTTTGCATATTTCCAAAATCATGATACATTTCTAGGAATCAGCATCTAGCTGCCTGAGGTGTGCAGAATCCTCCTTTCTGAAAGATGAAATAATATATGTCTATCACCAGCCCTCTGTTCTTCCTACTTTCTCAAAGATGAGCAATCAACCTTGCTCTAAGATTATAAGTTTCCCTGAACCACAGGGAGGTTAAGCCAGAGGTGGTGATCGTCCTTAGGGAATGGAACCATTAATGGAGTAAACTTAGCAGAGATGAGTAATGAATATAAATATAGGTGTGCTGATGAGAATGATAGTCTGACATTGCACTGACTGGTTGAGGGTAGGTTGGGTGACCCCTGTCCCAACTATCTTGTCCTTGCTCCACACCTGGCCTCTCCTGTCTGCCCTGAGTGGGGTCTCTGCTCTCTCCCCCACAGTTGTGGACATGGATGGAAGACCTTCAGAAGGAGATGCTGGAGGACGTCTGTGCAGACTCAGTGGATGCGGTCCAGGAACTGATCAAGCAGTTCCAGCAGCAGCAGACTGCCACTCTGGACGCCACGCTCAATGTCATCAAGGAAGGCGAAGACCTTATCCAGCAGCTCAGGTCAGCGCCTCCCTCCCTGGGGGAGCCCAGCGAGGCCAGGTCAGCATGGGCAGTGCTTTCCAGTGGGAAATGCCCTCGACTAGATGTGAGATAAGTCATGTCCCAGTCTTGGCTCAGCCACCACCAGCTTTGTGGTCTTGTGTGAGCTTCAGTTTCTCCATCTGTCAGATATGAAAATGCCTGTGCCATACCCAACTGGAGTTTAGAATGAGAGTAAATGGAAAAGCTCTGATGTTTCAAGGAATTATTTATCATTCATGCTATTATTTAGCAATCAATAAGTAACATAAGTACAAAAGCTAACAACATTCAATAGAAAATAATAACATCTTCATTAAGAATTATGGCATATTCGGGGCACCTGGGTGGCTCACTCAGTTAAACATCTGACTCTTGGTTTTGGCTCAGGTCATGATCTCGCAGTTTGTGAGTTCGAGCCCCACTTCAGGCTCTGCACAGGTATCATGGAGTCTGCTTGGGATTCTCTCTCCCTCTCTCTCTCTCTGCCCCTCCTCTGCTCATGCTGTCTCTCTCAAAATAAATAAATAAAACTTAAAAAACAAGAAAGAGTTATGGCATATTTGGTCAGGTGGAGAAATAGCCATTATGGAGTATAGTGTTATTTGGTATCTGATCTCAGGCTGAACTCTGAACTCCAGTGCCCCAGCTGGCAAAAATGGTTGGCTTTGGGGATCCAACGCCGTCCTCCATGAGGATATAGAGAGTTTGTATTGTCATCCCACTCTGTTCTCCATTACCCACATATGACCCTTCCACCATTCCTTGCTGCCCAGAAAATACAACTCCTTCTGTATCAACTTAAACAAACATAACTAAGAAAGAAAATCCTGTCTAAAACCTTCTATTCATTTAGAATCATCCACACCATTGCCTCCTTTCTATTGGCATCAATATCCAGGTTCCTATCCCTGTCAAGGCCGCTGGCTCCTCAAATAAAGTGTCGTGAGGCCTTGAGCAAGCCCTCAGCACCACCCCTGTGCCCAGGTGCTGTATAAATAGGACTTGACGGTGCTAATGATGTCTGCCTGCAGGGACTTGTTCTATCCAAAAATCACCCAGTGCTGGGACCTCTGGCAGCTCTGGACAGGAATAATCTCATCAGCAAGTCCCAGGCCAGTGCTGGGCCCTGAGGGAATTACTTCAGTTGGAGAGGGCTTCCCCCACCCTGTACCAGTTGTCCAATTAAACAATGAAAAACTTACCTGGAGATAGCCCTGGCATGTTTTTCTGTTGGAAATTAATCATGTCTATTCCAAACATGCACATGAGATGTTTTGAATCCTCCTGTTGCATACTAACAAGACAGCCTCTTTCCCTTCTTCCTCCAGCTCATCTTTACAAATATATCATACATGAGTTTTGTCTGCCTACCTAGGAAACCCTACTGTTATTTGCTTCTGAAAAAAAATTCCAAATAACGGGCAGTCACTTAATCTCTCTGGCCCTCAGCTGTTTTGTCTGCGTAATTAAGGAGGTTCTTCTAGGAGCTCTGTCAGCTCTAGAATTTTGTGATGCTTAGTGTTTTCTTTCCAAATAACTTTTCATAAGCTTGGTCAGTTCCATTCTGTGTGAGTTGGGTCTGTCGGGTTGACATTTGCTCTCAACTGCCAACCTTGCATGATGCCTAAGGGCTAAAGGCTACTCTGTAATGGTGAAGGTAGTGACATGGCTGATGGCCATTCACAGGTTTAAATTCCATGGATGTCAGAGAGGACCATAGGTGTGTGATCAAGAACCACTGGTGACCATGTATTCCCTCATTAGCCTGACTCTAGCCGAGGATCCCCTCCCTAATTTCAAGACCAGTCAAAGAAGAAAAGAAGTGAATGGTGCCTAGTGGAAATGGGCAGGATGCCTCAACACATCTTCCCTAGGTCTCCATGACTTTTCTGGCAATCATTACTGATGCACCTAAGGTGGTTTTTGCATCATTTCTGTGATTCCCAGTGAGTGAGATGCTGACATAGGTACTGTACAAAATGGTCAGAAATCATTCTCTTTCTTCTGGAAGCTTTGTGATGGAAAAAAGTCTGAGCGGATCAGTCAGAAAGAACAAGCATATGCTTCCAACAGCAAAGTCCTCAACAAATGCATAATTCAGCATATCAAGTGCATGCCTTATATTCTTTTCATGATTGAGGTGTCTGTGCAATGGTGGAGTTTTGTGCCCAAATAGGCCAGAGTTGCAGGTGGAATCGGGAGCTCTCAGAATGACAGAAGGAGGGGCTCCTGACAACTGGCCTTATGCCCCCTTCAGAAATATAGGATGAGCTCAGATCCTGCTGCTTCTGAGACAAACACAGGCTAAAAGGACTGGTTTTCAGAAAACCTGCTGATGGTTTGTCCTCCAACCTCTTACATTGTACAAGAAACCAGGATGCCACAAGATAATGAATGTGCCCATCTATTTCAAGCTTTAGGGCCATATAGAATCTAAACTTCTGAACTCCTGTAATTTTCCTATTATAATGATCTCTTAGGAGGCCTCACCACCCTTTACTTCTCTGAGCAGCTCAATTTGTTTACTTTTTGTTCCCCTCTATGACATGCCACCTTCCCCTCCCACTTTTGTATAGACGCTCCTGCTCAGAAAGTGCACCCCTCCTACCTGCTTGGCTGGGGTTGTCCTTTTCTTTTAATGCCCAAATCCAAATCGGAACTCATCCTCTTTGAAACTTTGCTGTTGTCCCAGCCTTTTGTGCCCTGTCCTCTACTCTCTCCAGCTGGGCCCATGCCCCAGTCAGCACTTGACCCTTCTTTTGTGTCCTTTCAGGATTAACAGCCATTATTAACACAGCATGTTTCTGCTCACAGAGCACATTTCCATTCACTGTCTTATTTAACAGCAAACCAAGAAGTGAGCAGGGATTATTAAGTTCACTTTTCAGGAGGCAGCGGGGTCTCCAGGAGGTGATTTCCCAAGGCCACAAGCCCATGTGTGCAGAGTGGGGACAATTTGGGCTTGTGGCCTCCAGATCCTGTGTTTTCCTAACTACAGCTTGGAGCTTGTGGAATAACACCAGCCCATAACTTTGGCATAGCGTTATAAAGTAGATGAATAATTTTGGTAGCCATGATCTCATTTTATTTTAATAGCAATCCTGTGAGATAAAACTAGGAAGGGTGATTTTTTTTCATATGCCTTTAATTTGTCTACTCTTACTCATTGTGATTAATGTGTCTACTCATATGCATGTGTATGTGTGTGTATTAAAACTCTGCATATTAGGCTACATATATATGGAATCATTCCATTTCCTTAATATATTATGCTTTGTAGAGCCCTTTCCATGCATTCCTTTGTCTGATGGCTTTCAGAGTTCTGAGGAATAAAGAGGAGAGCAGCTAGTCTCGAGCTACAGTGCTATGAACCCCAAAGAGGATACAAGTATTGTTGGTTCACCTACTAAGGAGATAGTGCCAGGGTCACAGTAGGAGTTTGATAAACATCTTGAATGATCCTGTTGATTCATATCCACCTTGCTCAAATGAGGAAGGCCCCCTGCCCCTATATCACTTTTAACATGGAAAGGCCCGTCCCTTCTCCCCCACTCTGCCACAGGGACTCGGCTGTGTCCAACAACAAGACACCCCACAGCAGCTCCATCAGCCACATCGAGTCAGTCCTTCAGCAGCTGGATGATGCCCAGGTACAGATGGAGGAGCTGTTCCACGAGCGGAAGATCAAGCTAGACATCTTCCTGCAGCTACGCATCTTCGAGCAATATACCATTGAGGTAGAGGTGGCGGAGGGGGGCACTGGGAAAGGAGAGGGAGGGAGTCATGGAGAGTTCTGGGGGGGTGGGCTCCAGAATGGGCTACTTCCTGGTCAAAGGCGCTGCATCAAAGGCTGGGAACGGAGCATCAGGCAGTACCCTAAGGGAATCAGAGGGGATTGTGCATCAAGGATACATTTTTATAATCAACAGATTCACAGTTCACATTCTACCATGTTCCATTCCTCTGTCCTTCTCACCTGCTCAGCCAAGAAGAGCCTCTCTGTTTCACTCTCTGTCTGGGATGACTTCACTAAGAAGGCTTTTGGTTGGGATTATGTGGACCCTTGGTACTTTGGTTCCTGAAAGACCATGGAGTTGTCTATTTGAGTTAGTGATTGGATCCTTTAGCATCAGGAGGAGGAGGTAGATGTTAAAATTTGGAGGCCTCCTCAGTTGGTGACCTTGGTCAGGAACTAGATGAAATCACAGAGCAGCTGGGAAGTCAGGCGCCACAGGGAAGAAGACCTTTTCTTCAGTTTGCTTTGTGCTCACTAAGAAGGTAAGTCTGTGCTAAGGCCATCTTGATTCATCTCATGGACTCCTCAGTTCCTTCTGGCAAGGTCAGGATCAGATGTTATAGTATATTTATATCCTCTTTGTGATGCCTATTAATAATGTCTGCTCCACATAATATCCACCTTTTATTATTTTCTGCTTTGAAACAGTAACTAAAACCAGGCCAGGAGGGCTCCTGGGGTGTGGAGAGTATCTAACACCCAAGGCACTTTGTCCTTTTCAGGGATGGCAAAGGGTTAAATGAAAGATCCACTGTCTTCTCTTTGCTCCCTGCTGGTGTGGTATTAGGGAAAGCTACTTCTCCACCCATCATTCTTTTACATTTTGTTTTGCATTCCAACCCTCTCCTCACAGTTGGGGCTTCTGGGTGTCTGGGAACGATCTTCCCAACAATATCTGTGGAAGCTTCGTGAAACTAATTTGGAAGGAAATTACTTTGTTTTTAAATGTTGATATTCCAACATCCCCAAAACAGTCCCAGGCAGGACCAGAAAACTGCCCTGGCAAAAGATGCTCTTTTCTTCAATTCTGTGACCAAAAATGTTTATATTGAGAATCAGAAATATAAAAGAAAAGGAGTCCTAAAGCAATCCCTCCTATCCCTTATTGTCCTATGATTTTTCTCTTCTCAAAAACATACCTCTCCCCTTGCCTCCCTGGAAACCACTACAGTTTCTTGCTTAAAGACTTCATGGTCTAAAAGGGGCATTCTGGACAATTTCTGGAACAAAGGAAAAGAGAAGTCTTTAAATCTGGATCTCAATTATCCTTACAACTTGTTCTATAACTTTAGGTGATTTTTTGTGTACCCTTTACTTAATTTATTTTGAATCTACACTCAAAAGGATTTCAGGTGGCTACTAGTATTCAAACATATGTTGTAGGCCACTTGGCTGGCTCAGCCAGAGGTGCATGCGACTCGTTCTTGGGGTCATGAGTTTAAGCCCCATGTTGGGTGTAGAGATTACTTAAAACAAATAAACTTTAAGAAAAATAAATGTATACTTAAGAAAATATGTTGGAAAGACTAGTAGGAATACTAGTGGAAAGTTAGAGATTTGGGCACGCAGCAGAGAGAACATGGTGAACTTCATGAAGCTGAGTAACAAAGGTAACAAAGAAGGAAAAGAGGGGGTGTGAGCTGTTAATCTTTAGTAATTGGGAGTCAGGCTCTCAGAAATAAGCAGTCACATTTGATTCCAGGACTCCTATCATCCCTCCTTGGCTCCACTTCACCTACCGAGAGTGAATGTAGCCATTGGGAGATGATGTTAGCTGGTGTGGTGATATTGCAATTGTAGTCTTTCTTTACTCTTCTGTCATTCTGGGTCCACATCCAAAAATGCTTAAGAGGAAGGAGAGAATCTGAGGGTTTGGTTGTTTAAGTTTTATTTCATTAGAGGGCATGGTTTTGAGGTCAGGGTTGCTGGTTTAGTTCTAGAATGGGATAGATAGCTTCAGTTTGGCATGAACTACACCCCTGACATGAGCCAGAGGGGGCGGGAGGCATCACCAGGGTATGTCTGCCTGCAGTGGTTCTGGGAAAATCCATTTCCATTCCTGAAAAACAATCCAGAGTATATGCCAAAATTACCCTTTAAAAAACAAAGTGAACTATAAATCAAATACTTTAAAAGTGGATCCTATTTAACTGTTGCACTTGAGAAGCTTATTTCAATTATAGGATTTGAATTTCTTCAGCCTTTGCATTATATAAAACTTCCCTCTCCCCACCCCCACCCCATACTATACAACAACCTGGATACTTGGTATGCAGTAGAGCAAAGTGGGGACATAGTATGAGGGAGATAAAAATAGTGATTTGGTGGCACCCTCTGGTTTAGGCAGTGGCATCCAGGTTTTAGAAGGGGTCTTGTTCCCCACTTGGGATATGGCCCAAAGCTTGGGAAATGCTGCATTTCATCTCAGATCGAAATGGAAATCCTGCCAAACCTATGGAGAAGTTGTGCCCCAACTCAATTGTCAGAAGTCAGTTTTGAGGGTGATGAAATTATTTCAAATACCATCTAGTGTTTCACCATGGGCATGAAGAGTACGTCTAGAGAAGAGTCAGAGTGTGAAACTGAGGGTGGTTTCTCTAACGAGAGACATGTTGGAGCTGACATTAGCCAGGGCAGGGCTGTTACTGCAGGGACTTTCAGCTATGGCTTCCTAGAGGAAGCCTTCCTAGAGGAAGGCATTTGATGGACATGCTTGGAATTCCTGGGGATTAATGAAAAGCAGAGCAGGCCTGCTCCCCTGACATCTGGAAATCTAAGCATGACTCCTTAACCATGTCACTGATGCCTGAGATGGGCTAATTAATTTAAAAATTAAGGTAGTACTGGAGTTGCTCTACCAGTAACCTTTTCCTCAGTGAGAATGGTGTATATGGCGCCCACAGTATAACCTGGGGTGAAGTCATAGGGCACCCCCAGTAAGAGTGAAACTTAACTCAAATGTATTAGGCAAATGCTTAAAACTAGGACTGTAACTGCATTTCTGACATACCTTCTTAGCCTCCACGGAGACTGGACAGAGTGACCCATATCAGAACATAATGTTCTGTAACGTTTTTCCTGTACGTTCAGCTTCCCTCAATGAAAGACATTTTATATCAAAAGGTTATAATAGCAGAGACCAATAGTGTTTATTTTGTGGCGGTAAGAATGTGGGTGATTTTCTCTTGTTTTTGAAGCTTCCATGCATTTCGAAGTTTTCTGCAGTTGATGAGAATGATCAGAAAGAAATAAAAAATATGTTTAGAAGCAAGACTAGGCCAGTGGTCTCCAAATTCTTTTGATTGTTCACTCTCTTAAAATGTTTTTGAACTTGCAATTCCCTATCTGTGCATATATTAGTTTATGAATGGTACACATGTTCTGCTATCACTGACTAGTAATCTCAGAACTCAGTGTGCCCTTAGGGTGAAGTGTAGCTTTTTCATTAGAAGTTGTGGTTCATATTTCAAATCACCTTCTCGATAATTTCTAATCATTTTTTTTTTTTTGGCCTGGTTTCTTGACAGTTCTGATTAGATTATCACTCTTTCTTTACCCCATAAGGTGGCTGACAGAGTTCAAAGTTCTCTTGTGCTTTCATGCTTATTATTATCTTCAAACTGCAGTTTCTTTGCAGGAAACTTGATAGGCCATGTGTCTTTCTGTGAAGATTAGTTAAAACTAGATAATAGATAAATCTTTTTAACTGGGTTCATGAAAAGAGCAATAATTTAAAATATGCTAAAAGCAACCCAACAAACAAGCCACAGTCAGCCCCTCTGCTCTGTGCGCTCCCACCCTCCTGGAAGAGCCCTCTCCCACCCCACCATCTGCCAGTGGTTGCAGTGAGACTCCAGCATCAGTCTGCTAGTAAAAGTCTAGGGAAACTTTGCATCTTTCTTATGGTTTAATCAAATATGTGTGCATGTAATAAATATGCACATACATAAGCATATTTATACGGTGAAAATTTTTATGTTATCAGTGGATAATCTGGGACATCCCCCGGGGTGGTCATACTCACATTAGAGAGCACTAGAAATGGCACCAGGAAAGATACTCTAAATAGGAAACTTTATGAAAAATGGGCCACAGTTACAGTTTTTCTTTTAAATCTCTGACTCTATAATTACAATCAAAGTTTGTTCAATGTACCTGAAAATTAATCTGTGTAGTTAACCTGAGTAAGGAATGAAACAGCCAACTATAAATCTATAGAGGTCACATTAGGACTGGTTGTGGTTAGGCTGGGGCTGGGGAAAATATAGTCTTCAAGGAAGAAAATTCTGCCTTCCGGAGGGGCAGTTGATGGAAATTTACTGGTGGTCTCAACTCTTCAATTGGTTGTATGCAAGGGCGTTTAGTGTCTTATATTTGAAAGAGACTGCTCCGTCAGCCTCTTGCCTGATCCAGCTCAATTAAACATTTAGTGAGCACCTAATATGAATCAAAAACTATGTTGGGCATTGAAGATACAAACCATCCTTGCCATTAGAGGGCTAGCTAGGGAGAAACAGAAAAATAGAATCATCATACAATGTGATGATTCTGTTGAGAGAAGACTCATGGTTGGATGAGATCACTGAGGCAGGAATATTTAGCTTAGTCGGGCTGTCCATGGAAGGTTTCTTGGTGAGATTACATCTAGAAGACAGGTAAAATTTGGTGGCCAGGTTTTGACATCTCCAGGGGATGCCACCACTTCTCTACTGGGGTATCTCCAAAGCCTAGATGTGGGGTTTGGAGGGAAGGGAGAAGAGGGCAGACGAGGGAGCTCAGGATTTCATCAGTGTGTTGAACCAGAATCTCCACCCTCCTGCCCTTTAGTCCTAATTATGTTCTCCGGCAAAACAGAATAAATCTGTTCCCTCTTTTATTTGATGGCCTTAAAGATATTTGAAAATGGTCATCATAGCCTTCTTTTCCTTTATCTGAGAAATG